TCTCAAGTTCTATCTACTGGTAAAGATAGTCTTATAAAAGCTATTTCTTCATAGCCAGAGGAAAATCTCAGGTAATTTTTTTTTTTTTTTTTTTTATGACAACTGTTGAAAGAGATGACAGTTGCCATAGTAATCCTTTGAAAACTTGATCACATTAAAAATCATCCTTTTTTTTAAAATCAGTCAATGACTCTTCATTACAATCAGAGGTAAATTAAAAGTCCTCTCTATGACCCTGTACGATCAGATACACCATTATTTTTCTTACCTCATCTTCCACTACTTAGACACGCTGCAGTCTTGATGTTCTTGCAACAGATCAGGCACCATCCTGCCTTGGGAGCCTTTGCTGGTCCCAAAAGAATAACAACTCCTTCACTTCTTTCAAGTCTTTGTTCAAAGATTACTCTCTGTTAAACCTTCCCTGACCTCCCTATTTAAAATTGTAAATCACCCTTCTCTGCCCAGATCTCCTGGTTTCCTTTACCCTGCTCTATTTTGTTGTTGTCTCCACTGCACTTACCTTCTGGTATACTATACAATAGACTCATTTGTTATATTTAGTGTTTGTTGGTTATATTCTTCCATTAGAATGTAAGCTCCACCAGGGCAGGGATCTTTGTTTTATTCAGAGATGTATCCTGAGCCCAGAGCAATGCCTGGCACATAATAGATAATCAATTCATACTTGTTATACTTGTTGAATGAAAATGAATACGTGAACTGCCTTCTTTTTTTTTTTTTTTTTTTTTTTTTTTTGAGACAGGGTCTCCCTCTGTCATCCAGGCTGGAGTGCAGTGGTACCATCTCAGCTCATTGCAACCTCTGCCTCCCAGGCTTAAGCAATCCTCTCACTTCAGCCTCCCAAGTAGTCAGGACTACAAGTGTGAGCCACCACACTTGGATAATTTTTGTATTTTTGTAGAGACGGGGTTTGCCATGTTGCCCAGGCTGTCTTGAACTCCTGGGCTCAAGCAATCCACCTGCCTCGGCCTCCCAAAGTGCTGGGATTACAGGCATAAGCCACCATGCCTGGCGTATGACCTCCCTTCTTGTATGACTCTGAAGGAAAATAACTTTTAATAAGTATTTACTGAAGACTCACTTTGTTGCAGAAACTAGTGTAGGCACTGTAGGGATACGAAGGTGAGTGAATAAGACACCAAAGCCATAATGTTGGAAAAAAGGCTGGCAAATGTTCATTTGGGCCGAGATTCAAAGCAATGTCTTTTGAGTTTTTTGTTGTTTGTTTGTTTTTTTGAGACAAAGTCTTGCTCTGTCGCCCAGGCTAGAGTGCAGTGGCACAATCTCAGCTCACGGCAACCTCCGCCTCCCAGGTTCAAGCGATTCTTCTGCCTCAGCTCCCTGAGTAGCTGAGATTACAGGCGCGTGCCACCATGCCCGGCTAATTTTTGTATTTTTAGGAGAGACGGGGTTTCACCATGTTAGCCAGGCTGGTCTCAAACTCCTGACCTCATGATCTTCCTGCCTTGGCCTCCCAAAGTGCTAGGATTACAAGCGTGAGCCACCACACCCAGCCAGCAATGCCTTTTGTTCTAATTAACATTTATTTATTTACTTTACACTGTCTGTTGATTACAGAAGTTGTTTTAGTATATGGAAATTAAGAGAAAGAAAACATCCAAGGAAAAGTTCATGAACATTTACCCTTATAAACTTCCATCGACTGAGCTTGCAGAGCTACCAATAAGTCAATTCTGACAGCTACCAATAATGTCAATTACTTAGTAATTTTAGTTTTGGTTGTTCATTTGGAGGTGTTCAGTTAACTCCATTATTCCATAAGCCAAAGTCATGGAAGTATGAGTGTATTAGAGGAAGATAGTATGATTATGATAAAAAATTAAAATAAGGTTTTAAAAATATTTAACTTTCTTTTTAACTTTTATTTTAAGTTCAGAGGTACATGTGTAGGTTTGTTATATAGGTAAACTTGTGTTGCAGGGATTTGTTGTACAGATTATTTCTTTACCGAAGTACTGAGCCAAGTACCCATTAGTTATTGTTCCTGATCCTCTCCCACCTCCCACCCTCCACATTCAGGTAGGCCCCAGTGTCTGTTGTTCCTCTCTATGTGTCCATGTGTTCTCATCACTTAGCTACCACTTGTAAGTGAGAACCTGTGGTATTTGGTTTTCTGTTCCTGCATTAGTTTGCTAAGGATAATGGCCTCCAGCTCCATCCATGTTCCTGCAAAGGACATGATCTTGTTCTTTTGTATGGCTGCATAATATTCCATGGTGTATGTGTACCACATTTTCCTTATCCAGTCTACCATTTATAGGCATTTAGGTTGATTCCATGTCTTTGCTATTGTGAATAGTGTTGCAATGAACATACGCATGCATGTGTCTTTATGACAGAAGGATCTATAGTCCTTTGGGTACGTACCCAATAATGGGATTTCTGGGTCGAATGGCATTTCTGTTTTTAGGTCTTTGAGGAATCACCACACTGTTTCCTACAATGGTTAAACTAATTTACATTTCCACCAATAGTGTATAAGTGTTCCTTTTTCTTTATAACCTCTCCAGCATCTGTTATTTTTTGACTTCTTGATAGTAGCCATTCTGACTCATGCAAGATGGTATCTCATTGAAGTTTTGATTTGCATTTCTCTATTGATCAGTGATGTTGAGTTTTTTCATATGCTTGTTTGGCTGCATATATGCCTTCTTTTGAAAAGCGTCTGTTCATGTCCTTTGTCGGCTTTTTAATGAGGTTTTTTTTTCTTGTAAATTGTTTAAAATTCCTCATAGATGCTGGATATTAGACCTTTGTCAGATGCATAGTTTGCAAAATTTTTCTTCCATTGTGTAGGTTGTCTGTTTACTCTGTTGATAGTTTATTTTGCTGTGCAGAAGTACTTTAGTTTAATTAGATCCTATTTGTCAATTTTTGCTTTTGTTGCAATTGCTTTTGGCATCTTCATCATGAAATCGTTGCCTGTTCCTATGTCTAGATTGGTATTCCCTAGGTTGTCTTCCAAGGGTTTTATAGTTTTGGGTTTTACATTTAAGTCTTTAATCTACCTTAAGTTGATTTTTGTATATGGTGTAAGAAAGGGGTCCAGTTTTAATCTTCTGCATATGGCTAGCCAGTTAGCCCAGCATCATTTATTGAATAGGGAGACCTTTCCCCATTGCTTGTTTTTGCCAGCTTTGTTGAAAATCAGATAGTTGTAGGTATGTGGTCTTATTTCTGATCTCTCTATTGTGTTCCATTGATCTATGTGTCTGTTTTTGTACCAGTACCATGCTGTTTTGGTTACCACAGCCCTGTACCATGGTTTGAAGTCGGGTTGTGTGATACCTCCAGCTTTGTTCTTTTTTTTTTAGGTTTGCCTTGGCTATTTGGGCTCTTTTCTGGTTCCATATGAATTTTAAAATAGTTTTTTCTAGTTCTATGAAGAATGTCATTGGTAGTTTAATAGGAATCACATTGAATCTACAAACTGCTTTGGGTAGCATAGTTATTTTAACTATATTGAGTCTTCCTATCCATGAACATGGAATGTTTTTCCACTTGTTTGTGTCATCTCTGATTTCTTTGAGCAGTGTGTTGTAGTTTCCTTGTAGAGATCTTTCACCTCCCTGGTTAGCTGTATTCCTAGGTATACTATTCTTTTTGTGCCAATTGTGAATGGGATTGTGTTCATGATTTGACTCTTGGCTTGACTGTTGTTGGTGTATAGGAATGCTATCAATTTTTGCACATTGATTTCGTATCCTGAAATTTTGCTGAAGTTATCAGCTTAAGGAGCTTTTGGGCCAAGACTATGGGGTTTTTTGGATATAGGATCATGTCATCTACAAACAGGGATAGTTTGACTATTGAGGGAACCCACCCCCAATATTTCAACGTAGGTTCTTTCTATTTTCCACAAGTGTCAGCCGACTGAGAAATGAGAGACAGTACAAAGAGAGAGGAATTTTACAGCTGGGTCATCTCATATCAGTAGAACCATGATGCCCACCTGAGCCTCAAACCAGCAAGTTTTTATTAAGGGTTTTAAAAAGGGGAGGGGGCATAAGAACAGGGAGTAGGTACAAAGATCACATGCTTCAAAGGGCAAAAAGCAGAACTACTAATAAGGGTCTAACAAAGATCACATGCTTCTGAGGGAACAGGACAAATTGTAAAAGCAGAACTACTGATAAGGGTTTATGTTCAGCGGTGCACATATTGTCTTGATAAGCATCTTAAACAACAGGAAACAGGGTTTGAGAGAACCAGTTTGATTGTTTTGCAATCAATTTGTACAGTTGACACAATTATCACAGTGGTCCTGAGGTGAAGTACATCCTCAGCTTACGAAGATAACAGGATTAAGAGATTAAAGAAAAGACAGCATAAGAAATAATAAAAGCATTATTTGGGAACTGATAAATGTCCATGAAATCACAATTTATGTTCCTCTGCTGCAGCTCCAGCCAGTCCCTCCATTTGGGGTCCTTGACTTCCCGTAACATTTGACTTTCTCTCTTCTTATTGGAATGCACTTTATTTCTCTCTCTTGACTGATTGCTATGGTCAGAACTTCCAATAATATGTTGAATAAGAGTGGTGAGTGTCTTGTGCTGGTTTTCAGGGGGAATGCATCTAGCTTTTGCCCATTCAGTATGATGTTGCCTGTGGGTTTGTCATAGATGGCTCTTATTATTTTATGGCATGTCTTTCAATACCTAGCTTATTGAGAATTTTTAACATGAAAGGGTATTGAATTTTATCAAAAGCCTTTCTGCATCTGTTGAGATAATCATGTGGTTTTGTCTTTAGTTCTGTTTATGTGATGAATCCCCTTATTGATTTGGATATGTTGAACCTACCTTGCATTGCAGGGATCAAGCCTACTTAATTGTGGTGCATAAGCTTTTTGGTGTGCTGCTGGATTCAGCTTGCCAGTATTTTGTTGAGGATTTTTACATCAATGTTCATCAGGAATATTGATAGGAAGTTTTCTTTTTTTGTTTTGCATGTTTTGGTATCAGGATGATGCTGGTCTCATAGAATGAGTTACAGAGGAATCCCTCCTCCTCAAATTTTTGGATAGTTTCTGTGTGAATGGTACCCACTCTTCTTTGTACATCTGGTAGAATTCAGCTGTGAATCTGTCTGGTCCTGGCCTTTTCTCAGATGTTAGGCTATTTGTACTGATTCAATAAAAAGCTTAAGCTTTTAAGGAAACATTCGTTGTACATAGGGAAAGGATGAATCATTTGATAGACTGAAGGACAAATGGCAAATAAAATATACCTTAGTACCATAAACCCTTTTAGTCACCATGAACTTAGGAGTAAGTTGACTTAAGAGTAGTTTTTTGGGACCAAAACTGTTGGTAAATAGATAAGTTTCTGTATGAGAAGTCGTAAGTACACAGGATTCACAAAAATAGCAATTAGAAGATAAAGCTAGAAAAGAAAGCTGAGGGAAGATGGCAAAGGGTTCAATATCAAACTAAAGAGTTCATACTCAGTCTGTGGGTAATGAGGGACTCACTGTTTTTGAAGGAGAGAGTAATGTGATTAGAAGTCAAAGTTTTAGACTTTTTTGTGGCATTGAAGGATTTCAAAGATCAGACATTCAAAACAAGAAGACGAGTTTGCAGGCACTAAATGGCCCAAGTGAGATATGATGAGGGCCTACCCTAGGGTCCTGAAATTATAAAAGTATGTTTATAATGAACCCAACATCCACTTAGTTTATAAAATAAACAAAGCTTAAAAGAAGTAGTAACAAAACAAAGAAAATTAAATCAATGAAAAGAGAGGAATTTTTTTTTTAAAAGATAAGGTATATGACACCCAAGACAGGTGGTAGAAAAAAGGACGAGTCAGCTTACCTTTTGATTTCTCCCAAAGTGGTGCCACACTGCATGTCTCCTTAGTCTTCTTTAGCCTGAATATTATATATTATCATAAAATTACTTACATATAAATTCAGGGTACAGTGAAACTCACTTGTTGAATAACATCACATGGACATTAAATAAATGTTAAGGAAAGGAAAGTTTTTCCATTATAACTAATTCCATCAGAAGCAGATATGAGCCAACCCAACATCTTGCTAGCAAATTTTACCAGTGGCTGAGTGCTAGGTCTAACTTCTCCCACAGAACTTTATCATACCTCTGACTAGTCATGACTCAAGCAATGCTAAGTGGGAGGGAATCAAGATAAACAGGCCATTTGGATATGTTGAATACCAACTATCACTTTTTTGTACTTTTTACCTATCAATCACCTCTATCTGAATTTTGTCGTAATTCTGTTCCCACTGAAATACATCTAGATAATAAGATTATTAGGGAAAATATATCATGATTGAATCTGCTGTGGGTGAAATAATCATTATAAAAATCTCAAATTTCTTGTAACAATATTCTTTTTGAGATGAGGTCTCACTGTCTCCCAGGCTGGAGTGGCACAATCATATAACTCACTGTAACTCTGAACTCTTAGGCTCAAGCAATTTTCCTGCCTCAGTTTCTTGAGTAGCTGGGATGGTAGGTGCATGTCACCACACAAGCTAATTAAAAAAAAAAAAAAAAAAGTTTGTAAAGACGGGGTCTCACTATGTTGCCAAAGCTGGTCTCAAACTGCTGGCCTCAAGCAATCCTCCAGCCTCAGCCTCCCAAAGTGCTGGGTTTCCAAGCGTGAGCCACCACGCCCAGCCTCTTGAAACTATTTTACACTTTAAAAGTCAGCAGCCACTTTTAAGTACTCCACCTCTAGGATTACTATTGTTATTTGTATTACTAGAGTGTGTTTTGAGAATCACTAAAAAATTTTGCTTACCAATAAGGAAATTTGAAAAACTATTACACTTTCAATCAAATATTCACACAAGGAGGGGAAAAAAGAGAGTAGGGGGTTGTACATAAAACGAAGAAAAATGAGTATTTCTCTGCTTTGCCAAAACTGCTCCTTCACAGGGCGCTGTGCAATGTGCACAGGAGAATAAAATACTTGCAGGCAATTTGACATGTTCTCACTACAACAGCTAAAATGAAGACACTTGAGTTAAAGGCAGGGAAAAGAACTAACGTTTATGTTTGCCAAGCACTTCATATACATTATGTCACTTGGCCATTACTATTCCACTTTATATATGAAGAACACTTGTCATTACATGAATAAAATATATTCAATTATCTTTCATTGACTTAAGTAAATTCACACTCAAATCAATGTAAAACGTTTAGAAATAATTTCACAGTCAAATCACAAATGAAAAACAGAAACAAACAAACAAAAACCTGAAATAGAGTGGAAACAATAAGAAGCAAAATAAAGACTCCAAATTAAGAGTCAGAAAGGGCTAATTCATGGGTGTTTTCCAGGCTTCCAGTATCTTTAAGATGATCATGTGTATCGAAGGAAGGGTAACAAGACGGGTTCATACTGATACAAAGACCATAGGCACAGGCAGCCCTACACACTCCTGCCCTCTCCCCAAAGGGCGCTGTGACCCTTGATAAAAATGACATAAGTTGAGAGTCAGGGACACAAGTGTCTTGGTTACAGTGTAACTGACTGCCCGTAGTAGCTTTATAGTCATGTTTCAAACAGTCCCTCCTCCTTCTGCATCCCCACCATTTTCCACTTTGACTTAAGTTACCATCTAGTAGCGACTCTCTCTCTCTTCCATTTCTAATCCTACCTTATTTTATTCTAACCTTACTTCAGAAAGAACAATTCTGCGTTTTATATTTTTATAGCTTGAAAATCTTTCTTCAGATAATATTAAAAATGATGAGAAAAGCTATATGTATGATATTGTTTATTGTGGTGTTACTTACAAAACCAAAAAACAAAGCATTTAAAAAATCCAACAATAGGAAGTGATTAAGTAAACTGTGGATCCATCAGTGAAATATAATGTGGTTGGTAAGACTGTTTAAAGAACATATAGTGGCATGATGAAATGCATATACATAAAATTTTTTAAAAGGCAGGATAAAAATTTTAAGTACACTAAAATCATCACGAAAATGAAATCCATGAAAAAGAATTTTTTCTTTCTTTTGAAAGAAGGGAATATCCAACAATAAAAATGGATATGTTATGATGGGTAGATTATCAAATAATTATTTTCCTTTTTTTCTGCAAAGTTCTTATTCTTATTTTCATAGTTTAAATAAAAATTAACAACTTTTCATTTTAACCTGTTCCAGCTCTCTATCTATATTACCAGAATTTATTTCAAGAGTACTTAAAAAGAACAATAGTATTAGCTGGAAAACTCAAGAAACATATTTTGAAACTTTAATCTTGTGTGCTAGGCATGACTGGATGACTTTAAAGTTCATTATAATAGGAAGATAATATAAAAATGTAAATCCTTCCCTAAAGAGAGTTGCAACTCAGAATGCTGTAAATTCCTCACCTTTTTAAATACTACCAGAGTGAATAAGAACTAGACATTCATCAGGCACGGTGGCTCATGCCTGTAATCCCAGCATTTTGGGAGGCTGAGGCCGGAGGATCACGAGGTCAGGCGATCCAGACCATCTTGGCTAACGTGGTGAAACCCCGTCTCTACTAAAAAAAAATACAAAAATTTAGCCGGGCGTGAGGCGGGCGCCTGTAGTTCCAGCTACTTGGGAGGCTGAGGCGGGAGAATTGCTTGAACCCGGGAGGCGGAGCTTGCAGTGAGCCAAGATCTCACCACTGCACTCCAGCCTGGGCGACAGAGCGAGACTCCGTCTCAAAAAAAACACAAAAAACAAAAAAACTAGACATTCAACAAATATCTGAAGAAGAAATAAATGAACCAAAGCAGAAGCTGAGTGGAATGTGAGGCTATCTTACTAACTTAGAGATCCCTTTGGAGAGTTTTAATGGTATGTCAGTCAGTCTGATTTCTAGCAGGAAAAGTATTTGTAATAATGTTTTCAAATGTCAGTGTTCAAAGTCAGGGAGACTTTTCTGGCTGAAAAATTCCTTTCTGATAGTGAATGCAGGATGTTAATTAGGCCAATATCTCATTCAGAATCTCCCTTCACATTACTTCAGTCAGACCAGAAATGAAGTACAAGGTTCTATATACAGGGTACAGAAACTTTTTAATATTGCAGAGAGTTAATTTTTTTTTTCCTAATACTAAAAATTCCAGTGTTCTCATGGGGATGATTTAAGCTAGGGCAATCAAGGTTTTTTAAAATGCCCTTAAATCGGGGCTGGGTGCCGTGGCTCACGCCTGTAATCCCAGCACTTTGGGAAGCCAAGGCGGGTGGATCACGAGGTCAAGAGATAGATACCATCCTGGCCAACTTGGTGATACCCCATCTCTACTAAAAATACAAAAATTAGCCGGGCGTGGCTGCGGGCGCCTGTAATCCGAGCTACTCAGGAGGCTGAGGCAGGAGAACACTGGAATCCGGGAGGCGGAGGTTGTAGTGAGCCGAGATCACACCACTGCACTCCAGCCTGGCTAGAGAGCCAGACTCTGTCCAAAAAAAAAAAAAAAAAGAAAAAGAAAAAAGAAGTCTTAAATCTTTTCTGGTAACAGCACCCGAAAACAGAAAAGCGCCGAGTTGTCAAACTGAATAAAATGGCTTCGATTTTAAAAATTAAATCCTTTATGTAAAAAAAAAAAAAAAAAACAAAAAAACGGCAAAAATGAATTCAATTCACTGGCCAGAAAAACCTCTACATTCAGCAGTATTACTACAAATACACATTCAACAAATGATAATTAAATAGCAATGATCTACCTGATTGCAGACACCTCGGCATCAGCACGTGGCAGTCTTTTTGGAGCCTCTAGCGGAGTTGAACTTACACTTTTTTGGTAACTTTGTAGTCCTGGTAAATATGGCATTTTGATACATTCTTTGAGCTCTCCTAGACCAAATGCTGTGGTATATTCTGGTTAAAAGTATATAAGAATCATCTTGATTAAATGTATACTACTTGTTTTACTACATACTAAAATACATAATAAAATACATAAAATCAGTTATTAAGTAAAGAAAATTAAGTAACTGTAATTTATCCAGCTTCTTTCCCAGGAGAATGGCTTTCATTCTACATCCTGACTATAGGGACTGCAGGAAGGAGTCGATTAAAAGGCTAAGAGTGGAATAAGGAAAAAGAATAGCTTCACAGATCTTCCACAGTCGTCACGATCCTCTGCCTTCATTATTTTATTTAGTTAGAATGCCCAGAATATTAGATACCTTCACACTGAAATAAAAGGCACTTTCAAGAGTTTGATATTATCTAGCACTTAGAGTCTTTCCATTTTCCTGCTTTTATGTAAATAAGAGGTGTAAACACATGATCATCTGAGCTAGCAATGAGAGTCAAAGAATTCTACTTGAGGCACTGATTTTATGTCCACAAAATTCCAGACCAAATCTGTAAACCATAACATTGAAGCACCAAGATTGTTTCTTCTACTAGCCTCACATATCCATTGCACAGAGAGATGGTCAAATTATTTTTTAAAATTTTCAAGGCATCAAATGAAAAGAAAAAGGAGATTAAGAGGTTAAAGGGTTGGATGTTCTTTGAACTAAACATAGTGAATTTTTTTTTAAAGTATTCTCTACAAAGCAAATGTAGTACAGCAACAAAAATGGTATTCAATGGGACTAAAATTATTATATTGAATGTTCAAAATGTTATTTTGTAACTTTTGATTTTTTCCTCTTTTGGAAAAAATAGTTTCTCTTGGTCAAAAAGCATACAGACTCTCTTTTCATCTATTAGATTTGGGGAGTAGAAGGGTGGATAAACTGTTGTCTGAGTACCTTTAATGGGAACCTGGTAAGAAAGTTGAAGAAAATATATAGCAACACATTCAAAGCCAAAGAGGGACAAATCATTGAGTAGTTTGCATTTTACTATTTTCAAGAATTACTGGCCGGGAGTGGTGGCCTATAATCCCTATACGCCTATAATCCCAGCACTTTGGGAGGCCGAGGTGGGTGGAGCACAAGATCAGGAGATCAAGACCATCCTGGCCAACATGGTGAAAACCTATCTCTACTAAAAATACAAAAACGTGCTGGGCATGGCAGCACGTGCCTGTAATCCCTGCTGCTCAGGAGGCTGAGGCAAGAGAATCACTTGAACCGGGGAGGCAGAGGCTGCAGTGAGCCAAGATTGCACCACTGCACTCTAGCCTGGTGACAACGCTAGACTCCATCTCAAGAAAAAAAAAAAAAAAATTATTTCTCCATTAATAAAGGTGGAAGCAAATTCAGAATAAACAAGAAAATATGATTAACTTGAAAGTAAGGAGGAATAACTATTAATATATTCATCTACATGTCAAAAGTTCTCAAACTAGTCTTCATTGAGCAACTATGGGATTTAAGATACTCTCCACATAATTCACTCAAAAATAGAGTTTTGGTTAGAACTTTTTTTTTTTTTTTTTTTTTTTTTTGAGACAGGGTATCACTTTGTTGCCCAGACTGAAGTATAGTGGCATGATCATGGCTCACTGCAGCCTCACCCTCCCCAGGCTCAGGTGATCCTCCTACCCTCAGCCTCTGAGTAGCTGGGACCACAGGCGCGCACCAACATGCACAGCTAATTTTGGGGTTTTTTGAAGAGATGGGGTATCACCATGTTGCCCAGGCTGTCCTCTAACTCCTGGGCTCAAGCGATCCACCTGCCTTGGCCTCCCAGAGTGCTCAGATTACAGGCTAAGCCACTGTGCCTGGCTTTGGTTAGAATTATTAATATATAAAAGCATTGTTAAAGATTTGGATGTCTTAAAATATAAAAATCACCTTGAGTTATTTTAAGGAAAATGCCATTTATAAAATGGAGTGTGATTCAACAGAGACAGTACTGCAATGGATATTAAGAAATGAAGTTCTTTCAGACAAATTTGAGTTTAAAAAGAAGAAATGCAGCTCTTTACAATTTGTTTCCATCATGAGTCACAGAATTACATTAATTAAATCAATTTTAGTTTGCTTCCATTTTTCTTTTTCATCAACCTAAGATATAATTCTTATATAAATGTCACAGAAAATGTCTCTTGCCTGATGGAAAAAATACATGTAAATTCAAGGCACTATTTCTATTTTCTTAAAGAAAATGATAACAATAAAGTTACCTTTCTCAATCTTCTGTGTTTCTAAAACTGCTTTCTTCCAACTACTCTCAAAAATGAAACAACTGCCAAAGGAACTTCTGGTGACTTTAGAAGTCTCACCTTTGATTTCAGGAGATGGCACTGACATGCTGTCTTCCTTCAACAGTGCTGACGAGAGGGACATGCTGCTGCAGACAGGACACAAAATACAAAGAAAACAAGGCACGTCCGAGGCAAGGCAAACAAATGTGTCAGAAAGTTTCTCTTTCAAACTGGGAACATTTTAATGAATTCTTTCAAATTCCAGGTTACAGATATTGGGTAATATTTTAAAAAGTAAAGTCCAATAGCAAGTTATCACCTACAAGAAAACAGGAGACTTGGATTCTCTTAAAAACATTATCATTATAAAATGCATTTGTGCCCGGAAAAAAAAAAAAAAAAGACAAATGTAATGCTCCATGGAAAATAAACATGTTCTCTAGATAATCATCACCTTTATTCTAAACATGGACACAGAAGGAAAATCATGTACCCTGCTTACTTAATATATTAAACACACATTCAATTCAGTCGTATACATTACCTATCACAAGCAAGGCATGACTACATCCAAAGAGTACAACCATGAGCAACTCTGAGGAGTCCCATGGGAATGATGAGGAGTGACACCACCAGGACAGCTACCATTTATGAAATGCCTATTTTTCCAGGATCCTTGCTGGGCATTTTGCATCCATTTTTTCCAGTGATCACAACAAAGAATTAGAGATAGCCAGATTCAGCTATGCTTATTCATTCATGCAAAATAAATTATTTACTGAGTGCTGATTTTATGCCAAGAATTACACGAAACCTTAGAGAAATATGCTAATCAAAACAGTCCCTGCCCTTGAGGAGCTTGGAATCTAGTAAAAGAAACACAGATAAGAAAATGGATAATACGGTTTTAGTAAGTGCTATGATGGGGGGCAAAAAATAAGGGTGCCATGGGAGCACACAGGAGGGATTCCCACCCCAGTCTTGGGCATTAGGGAAGCCTTTCTGGAGGAAGCCAACAAAGCAAGGATGTGGGAGAGCAGGAGGAAGAGATGGCTTCCAGCAGAGGAAGAGCATTGTGATGGTTAATATTGAGTGTCAACTTGATTGGATTGAAGGATGCAAAGTATTTTTCTTGGGTGTGTCTGTGAGGGTGTTGTCAAAGGAGATAAACATTTAAGACAGTGGACTGGGAGATGCAGAACCTCCCTTAATCTGGGTAGGCACCATCTAATCAGTTGCCAGCATAGTTAGAATAAAGCAGGCAGAACTTGGAAGGACTTGACCTGTTGAGTCTTCTGGCCTTCATCTTTCTCCCATGTTGGATGCTTCCTGCCCTTGAACATTAGACTCCAAGTTCTTCAGATTTTGGACTCTTTGAGTTACACCCAGTGATTTGTCAGGGGTTCTCGGTACTGTCAGTTTCCCTACTTTTTGTCAGGCCTCTGAGCCCAAGCTAAGCCATCATATCCCCTGTGACCCACACTTATACATCCAGATGGCCAACTGAAGATCCATAAAAGTGAAAATAGCCTTAGCTGATGATATTTCACCATTGAGATTCGTTTCTTCCCCACCCTAACTGATCAATGTACTTTATAATCTCCCCCACCCTTAAGAAGGTTCTTTGTAATTCTCCCCACCCTTGAAAATGTACTTTGTGAGGTCCACCCGCTACCTGCAAAACATTGCTCCTAACTCCACTGCCTATCCCAAAACCTATAAGAACTAATGATAATCCCACCACCCTTTGCTGACTCTCTTTTCGGACTAAGCCCGCTTACACCCAGGTGAAATAAACAGCCTTGTTACTCACACAAAGCCTGTTTGGTGGTCTCTTCACATGGACGCGTGTGACATTTGATGCCGAAGACTCGGGTCAGCGGGACTCCTTCGGGAGACCAGCCCCCTGTCCTCACCCTCACTCTGTGAAGAGATCCACCTATGACCTCGGGTCCTCAGACCAACCAGCCCAAGGAACATCTCACCAATGTCAAATCGAGTAAGCGGTCTTTTCATTCTCTTCTCCAGCCTCTCTCGCTACCCTTCTTCTCCCTGTCCTTCCAATTCCCATTCTTTTTCCTCTCTAGTAGAGACAAAGAAGACACATTTTATCCGTGGGCCCAAAACTCCGGCGCCGGTCACGGACTCGGGAAGACAGTCTTCCCTTGGTGTTTAATCACTGCAGGGACGCCTGCCTGATTATTCACTCACATTCCATTGGTGTCTGATCACCGCAGGGACACCTGCCTTGGTCATTCACCCACATTCCCTTGGTGGCAAGTCAATTGTGGGGACTCCTGCTTTGGTTGCTCACCCACATTGCAGCTCAGGGCTGCTCCCCACCCACCTTCTTCGTGTCTCTACCCTTCTCTTTAAACTTGCCTCCTTCACTATGGGCAACCTTCCACCCTTCATTCCTCCTCCTTCTACCTTAGCCTGTGTTCTCAAGAACTTAAAACCTCTTCAACACCCGCCTGACCTAAAATCTAAGCATCTTATTTTCTTCTGCAACACCGCTTGGCCCCAATACAAACACAACAATGGTTCTAAATGGCCAGATAACGACACTTTTGATTTCTCCATCCTACAAGACCTAGATAATTTTTGTCGAAAAGTGGGCAGATGGTCTGAGGTGCCTTACGTCCAGACATTTTTCACACTTCGTTCCCTCCCTAGTCTCTGTTTCCAATGCAACTCGTCCCAAATCCTCCTTCTTTCCCTCCCGCCTGCCCCTTCAGTCCCAACCCCAAGTGTTGCTGAGTCTTGTGAATCTTCCTTTTCTACTGAACCATCTGACCTCTCACCTCCTCCCCAGACTGCTCCTCCTCAGGTCACTCCCTGCTAGGCTGAATCAGGCTCCAACTCATCTTTAGCCTCTGCTCCCCCACCCTATAACCCTTCTATTACCTCCCCTCCCCACACCTGGTCCAGTTTACAGTTTCGTCCTGCGACTAGCTCTCCCCAACCTGCCCAACAATTTCCTCTTAGAGAGGTGGCTGGAGCTGAAGGTATAGTCAGGGTTCATGTGTCTTTTTCTCTATCAGACCTTTCCCAAATCAGCCAGCATTTAGGCTCTTTCTCATCAGACCCCACTAAATATATACAGAAATTCCAATATCTAATTCTGTACTACAATTTAACCTGGAGTGATTTAAATGTCATCCTAACTTCTACCCTCTCCCCAGATGAACAGGAAAGAGTTTTTTCTCTAGCCCAATCTCACACTGATAACCGCCGGCTTCATGAGCCAGACCTCCAGGAAGGCATTAGAGCAGTTCCTGAGAAGATCCCCAATGGAACTATCAGGCAGATTCCCCAGGTATAGTTAGGCAAGATTACATGGCTTCCTGCCTAGTTGAAGGGCTTAAAAAGGCAGCTTACAAAGTTGTTAATTATGACAAACTTAAAGAAACTATCCAAGGTAAAGACAAAAACCCAGCCCAGTTCATGGCCCACTTAGCAGCAACCCTTAGACCCTTTACCGCCCTAGACCCAGAGGTGCCAGAAGGCTGCCTTATTCTTAATATGCATTTTATCACCCAGTCAGCTCCTGATATTAGAAAAAAGCTTCAAAAATTGGAATCCGGCCCTCACACCCCACAACAGGAATTAATCAACCTCGCCTTCAAGGTGCACAATAACAGAGAGGAGGTAGCCAGACAGCAACATATTTCTGAATTACAGCTACTTGCTTCTGCTGTAAGACAACCCACAACCATGTCTCCAGCATACAAAAACTTCAGAACCTCCAAGCCACAGCTCCCAGGGGCTCCTTCAAAACATCCTCATGGACCTTTCTTCAAATGCCAAAAGCCTGGCCACTGGGTCTCAGGATGCCCGCAGCCCAGGATTCCTCCTAAGCCATGCCCTGTCTGTGTGGGCCTCCACTGGAGGTCAGGCTGTCCGATCCACATCGCCGCTGCTCCTAAAGCACCTGGAGCTCAAACCCAACGTTCCTTGGCAGACTGCTTTCCAGATCTCCTCAGCTTAGCAGCTGAAGACTGATGCTGCCTGCTCGTCTTGGAAGCCCCCGTACCATCACTGATGCCAAGCTTCAGATAACTCTTACAGTGGAGGGTAAGTCCATCCCTATTTAATTGACATGGGGGCACCCACTCCACATTACCTTCTTTTCAAGGGCCTGTTTCCCTTGCCCCCATAACTATTGTGGGTATGGATGGCCAGGCTTCAAAACCCCTTAAAACTCCACCACTCTGGTGCCAACTTGGACAACATTATTTTATGCACTCCTTTTTAGTTATCCCCACCTGCCCAGTTCCCTTATTAGGCTGAGACATTTTAACCAAATTATCTGCTTCCCTGATTATTCCTGGACTACAGCCACATCTCATTACCACCCTTCTTCCCAACCCCAAGCCTCCTTCACGTCTTCCTCTCGTATCCCCCCACCTTAACCCACAAGTATGGGACACCTCCACTGCCTCCCTGGCAATGGATCACACGCCCATTACTATCCCATTAAAACCTAATCACCCTTACCCCACTCAATGCCAGTATTCCATCCCACAACAGACTTTAAGGGGGTTAAAGCCTGTTATCACTCACCTGCTATAGCATGGGCTTCTAAAACCTATAAACTCTCCTTACAACTCTCCCATTTTACCTGTTCAAAAACCGGACAAGTCTTACAGGTTAGTTCAGGATCTGCACCTTATCAACCAAGTTGTTTTGTCTATCCACCTTGTGGTGCCCAACCCATAAACTCTTTTGTCCTCAATACCTTCCTCCACAACTCACTATTCCGTTCTTGATCTTAAAGATGCTTTTTTCACTATTCCCCTACAACCCTCGTCCCAGCCTCTCTTTGCTTTTACCTGGACTGACCCTGATACCCATCAGTCCCAGCAGCTGACCTGGGCTATGCTGCCTCAAGGCTTCAGGGACAGCCCTCATTACTTCAGCCAAGCTCTTTCTCATGATTTACTTTCTTTCCACCCCTCCACTTCTCACCTTATTCAATATATTGATGACTTTCTACTTTGTAGCCCCTCCTTTGAATCTTCTCAACAAGACACTCTCCTGCTCCTTCAACGTTTATTCTCCAAGCGATATCGGGTATGCGCCTCCAAAGCTCAAATTTCTTCTCCATCTGTTACCTCCTTGGCATAATTCTTCATAAAAACACACATACTCTCCCTGCCAATCATGTCCGAATGATCTCTCAAACCCCAATCCCTTCTACAAAACAACAACTCCTTTCCTTCCTGGGCATGGTTGGATACTTTTGCCTTTGGATACCTGGTTTTGTCATCCCAACAAAACCGTTATATAAACTCACAAAAGGAAACCTAGCTGACCCCAAAGATCCTAAATCCTTTCCCCACTCCTCTTTCCATTCCTTGAAGATAGCTTTAGAGACTGCTCCCACACTAGCTCTCCCTGACTCATCCCAACCATTTTCATTACACACAGCTGAAGTGCAGGGCTGTGCAGTTGGAATTCTTACACAAGGACTGGGACCGCGCTCTGTAGCCTTTTTGTCCAAACAACTTGACCTTACTGTTTTAGGCTGGCCATCATGTCTCTGTGCGGCAGCCGCCCCCACCCTAATACTTTTAGAGGCCCTCAAAATCACAAACGATGCTCAACTCACTCTCTACAGTTCTTATAACTTCCAAAATCTATTTTCTTCCTCACACCTGACACATACACTTTCTGCCCCCCAGCTCCTTCAGCTATGCTCACTCTTTGTTGAGTCTCCCACAGTTACCACTGTTCCTAGCCTGGACTTCAATCCAGCCTCCCACATTATTCCTTATACCACACCTGACCCCCATGATTGTATCTCTTTGATACACCTGGCATTCACTCCATTTCCCTATATTTCCTTCTTTCCTGTTCCTCACCCTGACCACACCTAGTTTGTTGATGGCAGTTCCACCAGACCTAATCGCCACTCACCAGCAAAGGCAGGCTATGTTATAGTATCTTCCACATCTATCATTGAGGCTACCACTCTGCCCCCTTCCACTACCTCTCAGCAAGCTGAACTCATTGCCTTAACTTGAGCCCTCACTCTTGCAAAGGAATTACACATCAATATTTACACTGACTCTAAATATGCCTTCCATATCCTACACCACCATGCTGTTATATGGGCTAAAAGAGGTTTCCTTACTAGGCAAGGGTCCTCCATCATTAATACCTCTTTAATAAAGATTCTTCTCAAGGCTGCTTTATTTCCAAGGGAAGCTGGAGTCATATATTGCAAGGGCCACCAAAAGGCATCAGATCCCATCGCTCAGGGCAATGCTTATGCTGATAAGACAGCTAAAGAAGCAGCTACCATTCCAACTTCTGTCCCTTATGGCCAGTTTTTCTCCTTCTCATTGGTCACTCCCACCTACTCTCCCACTGAAACTTCTACCTATCAATCTCTTCCCACGCAAAGCAAATGGTTCTTGGACCAAGGAAAATATCTCCTTCCAGCCTCACAGGCCCATTCTATTCTATCGTCATTTCATAACCTCTTCCATGTAGGTTACAAGCCACTAGCCCGCCTCTTAGAACTTCTCATTTCCTTTACATCGTGGAAACCTATCCTCAAGGAAATCACTTCTCAGTGTTCCATGTGCTATTCTACTACTCCTCAGGGATTGTTCAGGCCCCCTCCCTTCCCTACACATCAAGCTCAGGGATTTGCCCCCGCCCAGGACTGTCAAATTGACTTGACTCACATGCCTCAAGTCAGGAAACTAAAATACCTCTTGGTTTGGGTAGACACTTTCACTGGATGG